AAGTACAAGACCTGAGTACTTCTACTTTCACTAAAGTACAAGATCTGAGTACTTCTACTTTTACTCAAGAACAAGATCTGAGTACTTCTACTTTTACTCAAGAACAAGATCTGAGTACTTCTACTTTTACTCAAGCACAAGATCTGAGTACTTCTACTTTTACTCAAGTACAAGAACTGAGTACTTTTACTGAAGTACAAGATCTGAGAACTTCTACTTTTACTTCAAGAACAAGATCTGAGTACTTCTACTTTTACTCAAGAACAAGATCTGAGTACTTCTACTTTTACTCAAGAACAAGATCTGAGTACTTCTACTTTTACTCAAGTACAAGACCTGAGTACTTCTACTTTCACTAAAGTACAAGATCTGAGTACTTCTACTTTCACTAAAGTACAAGATCTGAGTACTTCTACTTTTACTCAAGTACAAGATCTGAGTACTTCTACTTTCACTAAAGTACAAGATCTGAGTACTTCTACTTTTACTCAAGTACAAGATCTGAGTACTTTTACTTTTACTTGAGGAACATTTTGAATGCAGGACTTTTACTGTAACAGAGTATTCCTAACAATTTCCTTCAGGATAAATACAGTCTAATCTCATTTTATGTTTCATTATAATCATTAGAAGACTTTAAGTTACCTTGTTGCAACACGTTTCTATATAAATAAACCTGCCTGGCCTTGCTGGACTCACCTGAGTTGTATAGACCCTCTGAGTGAATACGGGTGGGTGATCATTGACGTCTGAGATCATGATAGTGGCTGTTCCCGTTCCCGCCAAACCCCCTCCGTCCCTGGCCTCCACCACCACCAGATAGCGCTCCTCCACCTCGCGGTCCAGCGAGCGCAGCACCGTGTAGATGGTCCCGCTGCTGGCGTTGATGGAGAACAGGTTGAGGTTAATCTCGTTGCGGACGTTCTTGATGATGCTGTAGGTCATCATGGCGTTCTTGCCCTCGTTGGCATCGTCCAGGTCCATGGCGCGCATCTCCATGACCGACGTGCCCGCAGGGGAATTCTCAGGCACTTGCCCGACAAAACATCCGTCTACTTCCAGCGCCGGGCACGGGAAGAAGGGCGCGTTGTCGTTGACGTCTCGGACCTCCAACAACACATCTGCAAATCCCGTGAGTCCTGCCCCTGCCTCGTCGGTGGCGAAGACGAGGAACCTCCAGGCCGCTCGCTCCTCCCGGTCCAGGCGCCGCTGGGCGTGGATTCTCCCGGTACGTTCGTCAATAGTGAACTCTCCATCGGCGCCCTGGCCATGGAGGGAGTAACGTAGCGCGGTCTGATCAGCTTCCTGGTCCGGATCTGTGGCCGACACCTGCAGAGGAGAGACATTGATATTAATAATAATACGTTTATTTAGTATAGGCAGAAATTAAGGTTAACATAAAAGAAAACACGTAGAGTACCGAAAGGAACAAACATAAGATTTTTTTTTTTTAAACCTTTAATGTATGGTTTTAAATTCCTATGCTGTATTTTATCTTTATGTTTCTAAAAGCTTGTGAATGAAAAGCGGATTATTCTCATTTCAAAATATGTAAATGAACTTTGGACAGATCTTGTCATGGTTTTGGATTTATGTTTTCATTTTCCACCTTTTATTTTGAAATGTTTTCCACCTTGTGTCTTGTCGGATCCTACTTCCTGGGTGTTTCTCAATGTCAAGGAAGGATGCTCCAGAGCCACTATTTCAAGGATGGACTGTTCCAATGTCCAGGCTTGTCCTTGGAATTCTACCGAGCCCGGCGTCCTTCGTAGCGAGAAATTTCGAGGCTGCTCCGCCGTCTTAAAATCCCCACAATGCTTTGCGCACTGACCAATTTCCAAATCTTTGGCGGAGATCGCGCTCCATTTATGGCGGGGCCTCGCATATGACGCACACCTGTTAGCCTGTTAGCCTGTTAGCCTATTCCACCATTCTTCGTTTTCCGAGGCTAGGAAGGATTCTTGCCTTGCTTCTGAAGGAAGTGACTCGGAAAACACGTCCTACCAAGGAAGCGTCCTCGATATTGAGAAACACCCCCTGTGTCTGCCTTCCTGTCTTTAGCTTCCCTGGTGTGTCTGATTGTCTCACTGTGTTCACCTGTTGCCCCCCCCCCTTCCTTGTGTTTCTGCTTCCGCTGCCCAGCTGTGTCTTGTGCTGTGATTACCCTTCTGTGTATTTAATCTTGTCTTCCCCTGCGCTCCTTGTCTGTTCGTCGTCTCTTCATGTCCTTGTTCCCTGATCGTCTTTGTTGTCCATGTTCCTGGCTGCGTGTAAGTTTGTTCTTGTCGTGCTCCTCGGTTTTGTTTATGTAGTTTCTTGTTTTTCCTGTTTTCAGCTTTTTAATAAAGCTCGCCTTTTGTTACTTCACCTTTTTTAGTCCTCCTACTCCATTTGGGTCCTATTTTTCCCTAACCCTGACAGATCTGTCACCTCCTAATCGAACCACTGTGTGAAAAACAATCACCTCCAAAAGCACCAACACCACATTCTGTCGGTACTAAATGGATTTCATTATACGAGCAATGAAACACGGCTGCTGAACATTGACTTTTCACTTCAATTAAATAACAGTCCTGCTCATTTCTTTCTTATCAAAAACAGCTTTTTTCAAGCCCGGCAAAGGGACATGAGCCTGGCACTGATTGCAGCACAGAGGGATTTAACAACACGGGAATAAACATTTCTCTGATGCCTCGTCCTGTTTGCCTAATTAACCTCCTGCTATCTCTCTGAACGAGGACAGCTCTCACATCTGTCACCGCGACACTCAATGCAATTAAAAGTTAATAGACGCCAACAAAAGCCAGGAAAAAGTAGACTTTGAGCCTTTCTTTCTCCTCTTTTCTCACAGGAGGGGTTTGTTTACAGGAGTCTTTGAAGTCCCCCCCTACTTTTACTCAAGTCCACCCCGGGTCTCCTGACAACGTGATGCACGGCGACAATATTGAAGACGAGCCGTCGGAGAGGAGGCTGCCGCACAGGTGAAGTCAAAGAATATTCATTTCCAATTGGATTTTCCCCTCCGCTCACTATCTGCTGAATTGTATTAACACACGGGGCTGAGAGCGGCCTGCGCTCCGGGAGGAGCCGGGAGAAACTGTGGAGAGGAGCGGAGCGTACATCAAATCAATTCCAGCAGGCGAGGGGAAGGAGACTCTGTGACTTACTTCCCTCTGCGACGCACCTCCACTTTCATAATCTGATTTAACTTGGCGGCACATGCATATTACTGTGAATTACCGGAGGTAGGTGTGACGAAAGGCGGGTGAAAGCCACTGAAGAAGAAGGTCGACTGACTTTCTGAAGCAACTCCTCAGTTCCCGTGCCACTTCCTGTCAGGATTCTTTGGGTTTGTTGAATTTGATATTGTGTTAAACAATGTCACACACATGTGATGTGTTAGCATGAGGACACTGGATCTGTGCTGAGGTCTAGAGGCCTTCAGACTAAGGGCTGGACAGATCGCCCAACAGCGTCTCAATGCTGCAAAATGTCCAATTTTAGAAACCAAGACCGAGGCCTTAATGTAGAGGTTTCCAGCAAGTGCAAACGCGTACAGCGATCCAGAACTCAGGAGAAACTCGCTGCATCTTCAGAAAGGATGCAGATATAAAAACACAAATGTTCCACATGAAGAAACATCTTCAGCAACTTGAACTCATTTAGAGAACATTCAGCAACTTGAGGAGACATGGCAGTGCTTACTAAAAGCTGCAAATACAAAACGCTGAAGAAGCTCAAAAACACAACGGAGACCAGGGGACACTAAAGAGTGACGCACACAGCTGGGAGACCAGGGGACACTAAAGAGTGACGCACACAGCTGGGAGACCAGGGGACACTAAAGAGTGACGCACACAGCTGGGAGACCAGGGGACACTAAAGAGTGACGCACACAGCTGGGAGACCAGGGGACACTAAAGAGTGACGCACACAGCTGGGAGACCAGGGGACACTAAAGAGTGACGCACACAGCTGGGAGACCAGGGGACACTAAAGAGTGACGCACACAGCTGGGAGACCAGGGGACACTAAAGAGTGACGCACACAGCTGGGAGACCAGGGGACACTAAAGAGTGACGCACACAGCTGGGAGACCAGGGGACACTAAAGAGTGACGCACACAGCTGGGAGACCAGGGGACACTAAAGAGTGACGCACACACCTGGGACGGAGCGCTTGGTGACGTTCAGGATTATAAAGCTGAACAACTGTCTCTGTTGATGGAAACGTACCTAAAATGTTTTATGGTCTTATTTGAACAAAGTGATCACATGACTCTGCTGTAAGCTAGCTAGCTAACGCAGCTAACCTAGTCATTTCAGATATACTGACAAACACTTCCAGTTATGAGACGACTAACTCTGACACAGAGACAATTGTTCAGCTTTATAATCCTGAACGTCACCAAGCGCTCCGTCCCAGCTGTGTGTGTCACTTTTTAGTTTCCCCCCCCGTCTCCAGCTGTGTGTGTCACTCTTTAGTGTCCCCTGGTCTCCCAGCTGTGTGCGTCACTCTTTAGTGTCCCCTGGTCTCCCAGCTGTGTGCGTCACTTTTTAGTTTACCCTCGTCTCCAGCTGTGTGCGTCACTCTTTAGTGTCCCCTGGTCTCCCAGCTGTGTGCGTCACTCTTTAGTGTCCCCTGGTCTCCCAGCTGTGTGCGTCACTCTTTAGTGTCCCCTGGTCTCCCGTTCTTGCAGCGTATTATATTTGCAGCGTTTTGTTTGAAAGGCAGGTGAAAGCCACTGAAGAAGAAGGTCGACTCCTCAGTTCCCGTGCCACTTCCTGTCAGGATTCTTTGGGTTTGTTGAATGTGAGATTGTGTTAACCAATGTCACACACATGTGATGTGTTAGCATGCGGACACTGGATCTGTGGCTCTGGGCTATCTCGCCTCTACGTTTAACGCGTGACCAATACTATTAGATTTGTCTGTTTTAAACCTGATATATTTTCACAACACGCTCCTCTGTGGTCAAACAGTTTCACGTTGGGCTGGATGGCCCGGTTATTTAAAGCTAAACAGTCGAAAACATTAAACGTGCCAAACAGCCATCTATCCATTCGACTCTTTCTGATATTTCTGACTAAATAAAACACAAGTACAGTTTATATTACAACGCCATAACAACCCTATGTTGTAAAATGGTAAATAAATAAACCTTTTAGAAAACAGAAGCTTCTGAAATGTAGAAATACAAAGTAGTATTAAATGTATCATGCAAAATGCACTTTTTTATGTCTTTTATACGTAAATATGTGTCCCCGGTGCGTCAGAAAATAAACCCCTCTCTCTTTTCCTCCGTACCCACATCTCTAAAAACGGGGCTACAACGGAGCTGATCCAGATCTGCGTCCGATATGACGTAACATGTAATATGCGTGTGGCGCAGTGGGTTAATGCGCTAATGCGCTGATCTTCGAATCAGAGGATAGCAAGTTCGAGTCCCACTGCAGGCAGCATGTCGTTGTGTCCCTGGGCAAGACACTTCTAGTCGCTTTGGATAAAAGCGTCTAACATAACATGTAATATCTGAAATGTGGGCAGGCTTACACCCACGGCCCTATCAAAAAGAATGAGACGTAATATGGTCTGTGTTTACATTAGCAAGTATCGCTAACACTCAGAGCTAACCTGTGCTGGAGAGAGCATGTGTGTGAAGAAGCAGGAAATCAAAATGAACTGACCTTGAGGTAAACCTGAGAAAGAGTTTGAGCTCCATACTGTTTCAGAGAGAATGTGGTTTTGAACATAATATGGCGTTTAATCACGGCAGCATTTTGCTGAGTTTCTGGGTAGAATTCTCCTGCATAAGCTCCGCCCCCTTCTTTGTTTTCAAAATGTATTTATTTTTTAAAGCTGTAGACCCAGACTCAGCACTTTAGTAACAGCTGAAATAGAGGGGTTTGGGGCTAGAATGGGTGATCTGTTTGGTATTTTGAGCAAAACACTTCATAGACATGTTTTTTTATATATCTGAGACCTATAATCTATGCCTACAAATAGTATAATAGGAGACCTTTAAGTGCCATAGTTTACTAGACGACAGATGGCCAAACATGGCGCTGACTGACCTCCAGGAGGAAGACGGGCAGCTGAGTGAGCTCCTCGGTGACGGACGCCTGGTATTCGCTGCGGCTGAAGACGGGCGCCTCGTCGTTGCGGTTCAGCACCTGCACCACCACCAGCGTCTCGTTCTCCCACTTCCCGTCCGAGGCCACCAGGCGCAGCTCGTAGCGCTGCTCCAGCTCGAAGTCCAGCGGCTGGGCCACGAAGATGGTGCCGACCTCAGGTTCCACGTCGAAGGAACCCATCGCGTTCCCCGCCGTGATCTGGTAGCGCAGCTTAGCGTTGGCGCCTGCAGATTCAAGATTCAAAGTGTTATGAAAAATAAGCCCTTGATCTTGAACCTCAGGATCCATGTATCTGTGATCCTCTCCAGAATGGAAGTAGTCATCACATACAGAGCATCAACTAGTTCCTGAACAGTGTCCTTCACATGCTGATATCCAAGAGAGGGAGTTACACAGTCACAAGATGGAGGAATACCGGGTCTTCTAGGTAATCATACATCCTGTCATAAAATACTGAGTTTTTTTCAAAATGTTGGCTTTTTTCAGAAAATATCAACATTCCGGCTTGTTCTCAAGATCTGTCTATTTCTTAAAAATCCTGACTTTTTTTCTCAAAATTATGTATTTTTCTCAAAATCTCAATATTATGTATTCTTCTCAAAATCTTGAAATCATGTATTTTTCTCAAAATCTCAATATTATGTATACTTCTCAAAATCTCAAAATTCTAACTTTTCTTGTATTTTTCCTCAAAATTGACTTTTCCTCAAAATCTAAAAATTCAGACTTTTTCCTAAAAATCTCAAAATTATGTATTCTTCTCAAAATCTCAAAATTATGTATTTTTCTCAAAATTCAGACTTTCTGCAAATTAAGACCGAACCAAATTAAATACGGTTCATTGCGGTGATAACTATTTATATAAATTAGTAGATTGCAAGATGACAAACAGATGAATGTTGATGGAGGCACTTCACAGAGGTGTTCTTACGGCCTGTGGAAGTGTCCCTGAGCGAGGAGGTGGAGAAGTTCCCTATAGAGGGGCCTAGGCTTTGAGGGGTTGTGTGCATGTGAGGCTGAAACCCCTGAATGCAGAAGTCTGAAAGACGCCTTAAATCATGCGTTTGGGGGTTTCTCTTCCCTGTAGTGTGCTAGAGGATTGTGTGCATGCTAATGGTCTGCTGTGTTCTGGGGTTCGCACTGGGATTCTGAAGGCGAGCTAAAACCTCTTCTTTCAGCCTTTGATCATAAACATGTACCGGCCATCAACACATTTATTTTACTTCCTGCTATTTTTAAATCTTCTCATCTTTGTTTCCTCCCTGCAGACTGTCTTATTCTTTCCTCTCTGTTTGCATTTCTATTTTCCCCTAAACTACATTTTCCCTCATTTCCTCTGCTTTCCTGATGCTGTGAAGAAATGCCGATACACACACACACACGGACGCACACACACACACACATCCAGATGCATGTTGGGAGCCCAGAGGCAGGTCTGAGGGTCTCTCTGCTCTGTTTACTGGCACCAAGGAGACTTTAGGAGACAAACACCATCTGCAGAGACATGGAGGACCTTCATTACCACACCGGAGAGAGAGAGAGTGTGTGTGTGTGTGTGTGTGGGGAAAAAGCTTAAGTGCACCGGTCCGTCACAGTCTCTGAGCACGATCTGTCGTGACACTGGGAGTGTGTGTGTGTGTGTGTAAGTGTGTGTGAGGGGAGTAGCTCCAGCGGTTTGGTGCCTCAGGCTGCCTCCCTAATGATCAGACTGGCCATATGGTGTTTCCCTCCTCACACACACACACACACACAGTGATTTGATTCGCTGCAGGAGGCGCAGGTTTGAGATTAAGGTCAGATGTGCTCCTCGTGAGGAGCGCCTGCGGGGGAAGTCGTCCCTGAGCGCTGACTTGCAGGTCGACACTCTGAAGGACTCACACTCATCACTGGAGGAAAGTTTCATTTCCATTTAACACCGCCGCATTAGAAAATATATCAAATGTTTGTGGCCTCGGATGGCTGCAGGAGATACTGTCGCCTTTTAAATTCACTCGGCAGAAATCCTGTCCCGGAAAAATGAAGAAAATGTTGTTGGAAGTGGCTCATTTTGGGATAAATGTTCGTGTGATTATTACAAATAAATGCCTTAAATGACTAATTTGGTCCTGAAATGTTCATTAAAAAGTGTAAAACAGTCAAAAAGACTACTATGGTCATGAACGTATAAGGAAATATTATAATAAGAAAGACACAAAAAACAAATAAAAGTTCAGATGTATGCTCTTTGAAAAGGTGTTTACATGTTCAGGAGAAATCTGCAGACACACACAGATAGTTAGTGAAATAAACTCCTGAATGATTCTAGATGTTTTCGTGCCACTATTCGTGAAGGAAACATGTGATGGACGCAGAAATCTCTACACTAATAAGTTCATGTAAACACGTGTTTGCCTCTGGCGTCTCGTAAACTCTCACACGCTGACTCGGCCGTTTTCATGCCTGTTAGGAAGTTTAGGCAAAAATAACGAAAACACCCCCTTGTGTTGAGGGGCGTTTGTTAATCACCACGGGGACACCCTGAGACACAACCGGGGATAGAGCGTCTGGGAGGGGATCATCGGCAGTTTGCTACCGTAGCGTTTCTTTACCGCGTGTTCAGCGTCTTCCTGAAGCGACTGCTGCACATGAAACTAACTGAAGCGCTGATTCGCTCTGAACTGGGGATTCAACCTCAGGAGAGTCTCAAGGCTGCAGTGAGAGAGCTTTTTATGTAAATAACCAGAGAGAGATCAAACAGCAGCTGTTAGCGCGTTAGCTACATGTTAGCGCGTTAGCTACATGTTAGCACGTTAGCTACATGCTAGCTCCAGAGAGCAGCGACTTTAAGTTGCTGAGTATTTCCATTTAATGCTAATTTACATTTCTACTCCCTTACAATGAAAGGGGAAATAGGGGGGGGGGGTCGCTTGTTTTGTTGTTCTCAGATTTGTTTGCCGCTGCTTCTTGGTTAGAAACGGAGGAGGAAGAGGAGCGAGGGACAAACACAAACAAAGAGACGAAGATCAAACCTGCTGAACCCAAGGGAGGAACAACACTCACTAACAAGCAGAAGGGGGGGAGGAGGAGATGAGGAGAGGAGGAGGAAGGGAGGAGGAGAGATGAGGGAGGAAAGGAGAGGAGGGATAAGTAAAGTGAAGAAGAGAGGAGATGAAAGTCATAAAGTCCTATTGTTCACAGTGCTGACAACTAGACTAAAAGGAGGAGAGAGGAGAAAGGAGAGCAGATGAGGACAGAGGAGATGAAGATGAAGAAGGGAGGAGGAGAGATGAGGACAGAGGAGATGAAGAAGGGAGGAGGAGAGATGAGGAAGGACAGGGCGAGGAGATGAAGAAGGGAGGAGGAGAGATGAGGCAGAGGAGATGAAGATGCACAGTCAGTCTCACCCTCGTCTTCGTCGTTGGCGGTGACG